GACTTGGTAATGTAATACACTGATGTAGGGTCGTAGTTAGATTGATAAACTATAATCAATGATCTCGGGGGGTGAAAGAGAGGAAGAAAAGGAAGAGAGACTGCGCCCGAAATAAGCTTCGCCGTCGTAAAATATTTCTAGCCTCGCCAACATTCGTCGCATCAATGAAAATATGCTGCAAGGTCTCGATAGATGAGTCGGGTCGACGGTTAGGGCTTCCATAATCCATTCGGTAAGGCTTTGGGACCCGTGTATCTCTCTCTCTCTCTCTCTCTCTCTCTCTCTCTCTCTCTCTCTCTCTCACTCTCTCTCTCTCTCCCTTTCGCGCGGAGCATAATTATTTTGATCCGAAACGACGTCTGCGTCGTTGAAGCTGGATGAGATATAATTAAAACGGCCGAATTCGCAGATAGAGCTACATACAAATATTGAGAAACATCTTCCTTAAACTCGCCTTTGCTCACAGATTGTTCTATTCTTCGCGCCATTTCGATTCAATCTCTCCGCGTTCGTTTGTTTCATTCATAAATGGAGTCCTCAATTTTCCTCTTGAATTTAAAGCTGCTTCCCCTTAGTCCTTTTTCAAATGTCCTCGAACGAAGCGAGCGGGCTCGAAATTTTGCTCCCGCCGGCTACCGCCAATCGCGGCGAATTCGCCGACGTTTAATAATTTAAAACAGATGCGGGCTTCCCACAATAAATGCGATACATGCTCTGTCCTGAAACCGTGCATGTGTGGATGATTATCGATTCTGCGACACCTATTTATTAATGGCGATGTGGGACAACGTTAACCTTTACCATAGGTCGCCGCGCCTAGACGACATAAAGTACACTATTTTCCTTCTCTCTTCTCCTTCCCTGAAGGAGTCACGTATGAGAGGAGAGAGAGAAAGAAATTTTGCAAAAACCGCATATTTTTCATCATTGCTACTTCACAACCACTCGCGATCTCTTCTATCGCGCCTCCCGATATGAAAAAATTATCAATAGCTCGAGCATCGGAGAGCGAATAAGATGCTTGAGAAATTGCGAGGACGTGATGAATCTCCGATGGAGAATTTTATTAAACGATCAGTGAGAGACGCGAGAGAGAGATCAGTTCGCGACGTGAAAACTCATTGATCGCGATGGAGAAGTGCGGCGCGATTCAGAAACGAATTCCAACGACGATTTGCAGGACAATGAGTGCGCAAAGTTGCCGTGACATCGACGGGCGCCGCCGGTTCCATTGAAATCATCCAGCGGGTCTCCGCGTGATCGGGGAATAATGACGGCAAGTTAAATGGAAAAGCTATATACACGCCGTAGACATATACATCCGTTTACGGAACTCGAAACTGCCGCCGAAGTCTCCGGTATTTCTATCGTACATCGGAGTCGCGTGCTCGAAAATCGCCCGCAGATAAAGCTCGTTGGATTCACGAATGCTTATGAAGTTAGAAAGACAAGGCAAAGTTCCGGGAGTTTCCGGATTAAAAAGAGAGAAAAAGAAACAAGTAACGGAGAGAGGCGCGGGGCGGTGCGCCGTTGTCACGCTTGAAATGGCACGAGCAAAATACTCCTCGTCTCCTTGCGGCGCACTTAATGTCACATTATTGAGCCCACATTCGGCCTCCTCACATGTTTCTCTTCTTCCGACCGGAATGGATACCGCGAAGTAATTTCTGATCGATCGAACTTTGACGGAGCGGAGAGAAATCTGTTTTTCCGGGCGGATGCGCGCCGATGAGAGACGTCGAGATGCGATCGTCGACAACGATCCTCTCCCGCGTGTCCCGCCATCTCGTCTCATTACCTTTCGAGGGCAATTGCCGGGGCAAGGGGAGCAGGGGCGGAGGAGAGGACGAGGAGATGACAGGATAGACCGAAATATCGCGTGGTACCGCTACGCGACCATCGCGGATTAGATACGCGCCGATATGCGTATCGGGTGTCCAGAGGGGAATCTTAATCGCGGCGTGTCTCAGCGTGCTTCACCTGCGAGCGAGCGAGAATATGCATTCGTGTACACATATTTAATTCCCGATCAAATTTCTCGTTCGAGTTTTTCGGCCGGCGAATTGGCCGGTCGCCAAATTCAACGGCCGAGGTTCCAGCGAGACGCGATACGTGTTTTCAAATGCCTACGCATGTGTGATCGCGTGATGTGATTATTCGAGTACGTCTTACGACGTATAAATAACACCGCACAGAGAGCGATGTATTATTAAAAAAATACACCGGCTAAATTTATTTCATTTCGTATATCGTGCGATATTATCTTTCTTCTGTTTTTATGAATTTCAGTTTCTTCAGCAATCGAGACGAGGCACCTGTGATAAATCCTAGAGTCGAGTGTTACACGCGAGAGTTTCGCGATTAATTAACACGTATCACGCTTAACACTCGGCAACAACCGCCAACCGCTATCGGTTCTCCGCTTCTTTATCATTTTCCGGGAGCATTCGCAGTGTGTGTGTGTGTGTGTGTGTGTGTGTGTGTGTGTGTGTGTGTGTGTGTGTGTGTGTGTGTGTGTGTGTGTGTGTGTGTGTGTGTGTGTGTGTGTGTGTGTGTGTGTGTGTGCGTGCATTTGCAACTTTGTCCGCGAAGTTTAACGACGAAATCGAAGTTTGTGTGCTGAGCAAGTTTGCGAGGAATATTTCGATACATAATTGCGCAAACAGAGCGATGCACCATCGGCGACGAGGCACTGATACGGCCTCGTTCAGTGAACGCCCGGCTGCGTTCGCAAGGCGGATTATGCGTACAATAGCAATACACCGCCGTGTTATTGGTAAAATTAATTATCGAAACCTTAATAACAGGTAATTAACGCGAGGGCGGGTATTTATAACCTGATGTTGAAAATTGCACGAAATTGACGCCGATCATCCGCCTTGAATCGATCGACGCCTTGAATGCACGAGCCGGCGAGCGAAGTTTGTGAAAATTCGAACAACGGCGAAGTGAGCGGCGAAATATTCTGCTCGAACACCGTAGAGAGGTGCGGATTTATAAAGTTCGCCCGAGGTTTACCAGGAAGTAGGTAAACATTTTCGCGTGATCGAGGAGATCGAGGCAATACCGTGACAGGGAAAGAAGAAAGAAAACGCAAAGCTGGCTCGCGATATACCTCGGTCGATTTCTGGGCATTTCGAACGTTCCTTCCAAACGCGCATTTCGGGAATGTCGCGCGCAATAGGGGCTGGAAGTTTATCTCGTTCTGGTAATGTGCTATACAGTGCGGCACAAATGCGGTATAACGCAAGTGGTAAAAGTCAACGTACTGTGTACTGACGACGACGCGGGCCAAGTGCCGCGAATATCGACGAAGACATAACACAGTGGCGCAATGCCGGTTCTTCCCTCCCTCGCACAGAAATCGACTTTCCGCGCTTGTATTTTCAGCCCCGTACAATAGTAATTACACTTCTCGCGTATACCGAGACAAACGCGTGCAGGTACATGCATTTTTGAGCAATTCTCCGTCGAGAGCGCGATGCAAGTTTTCAAAATAACTCTCCGTTTTACTCCTCTCCCTCTCGCACAATAACAGTAAGCATGTGAGCGAGACTATTCCGTGTGAATATCATTCCTATTATCCGCGCGTTTTCCCACGAATGTAGTCCCACTTCGTCGCGAGTTCCACCGCGAATAAGCAAATCACGACGCTTCCTCTCTCTCTCTCTCTCTCTCTCTCTCTCTCTGTTTCTCTCCATCCCGACGACTTTCGGAAGAGGCGAGAATCACCTCTAGACCAGTGATTTTCAATCGGTGTACCGTGAGACGATCTAAGGTGTGTAAAATTTTTAAGAATTTTAATCGTTATCCTCTTATTACAAATTATATAATAAATTGTTTTGTTTTGTTCAATTGTTTTTTGTTTTGTTAAATTGTTTAATTTCTGATCGTGATGGTGCATTGTGATTGTTTGTGTTAATAAATAAATCGAAAAAGGTATATTCTTTTTTATACGCTTTTTTTGATCATCATAATTTAAGCCTTTAACGCTAACCTCCTATAGTTATCAGAAACGCATTTAAGAATCCACAATTTAGTCGAAAAAGGAGATATTTTCGTTTTCTTTGCACCATTGTAAAGGTGAATTCTTCTTCTAAAAAATGGTATATAGATTGTATATAGATTCAGTTTAATCTGTTTTTAGCTTAGTTTTAATGATAACATGTTTTATCAAATTCCAAGTAGGCATAGTTAGCATTATTACTGACATCTAACAGTGCACTATAAATGAATAGATTGATATCTGTTATAATTTTGTACATTTGGAAGCTTTCTCAGATGCAAAATGTAAAATTAAAAGAATACAGAAATTCAAAATGGTGGACACGAAAATCAAGAAATCAACCTATTTTCGTGAAACCTGCTGACCTACAGTGCTTCTTATGCGGCGAAAAATGAAGGAACGATTGACTATCTAAATGGTGATCTATAAGATATTCTTCTGAAATAGTAAGCTTGACGATAATCTGAATGATAAACTTCATTCACAAATATACTAAAGTTTCAGCTCAAAAATGTCAAGCTGACTATCGGGTGATGTCTTCATTTCTCTTTGTTCATTTCGTATATGCTTTTAGGATACGATAAAAAAATAACGATAAAAAAAACCAAACTACGAACGAAACCAACAAACGGAAAGCGGAAACTTCATGTACTCATTTATTCAGAAGGTAGCTTTTCGTACATATAAAATTCTGATATTTTTTTTCGGTTGTCACTACTTGTAGTCTCAGTTCAAAAAAACTCAAATTTTATTCTTAAAGCACTTGTAAAAAAGTCGGACGTTAAATGTGTCGTTAAGTGTGTCGTCGCGGAATAAGAGAAGAACGCTGCTCTAGATCGTTCTCCCGCGATTCGAGCGAAACTCATGGACGCAGAGAAGCGTGGCGATCTTCTCTCACCCAGGTGCGCTGAAAGCACCGGGCAGAGCGCGTTGCGCTATAATGCGACCGCCGATGAAGCGGCAAGAGTCAACGTACGTTCGCGCAGCGCGGCGCGGCGCGGCGTCGTGCATGCGATCGTGCATATCGACGGACGCGAACGGTGGCGCAGTGCCGGTTTTCTCCACCACCACCTTTCGTGACGAATTGCACCGGGGGGTCGATTCAGCCGAGTGACCGTGCAATTCCGCGCCGCGTTACGTTGCACCCTGGGTTAGCTGAAGGAGTCGGCTCGCAACTACATACGTTGCGACGACCGCTCTCGAAATCGTCCGTCGTCCTCGCCCGACCTCTCCTCGTCCTCGCCTCGTCTCGCCCCTTCCTCTCTTCCTCCCCTCACCCCCTCCCCCCCTCCTGCCTCGCCTCGTCGCGCCTCACCCTGTCGCTTATCAACATCCCGTTTCTCGTCCGGGATTACGTCGAGTCGCGAGCACAGGATGACTCGGCGCGAGGAGCCCTCAATAAACGTCGGCCGCGGAGGGTCGTTTTGAAAAATGACGCAAATTGGTGTCGATCGATAAACAACGTTTCCTCGCCGACGGTGACGCGGCGAGGTATCGTGTGGTGTACTCAGTCGTGTCGTCGTCGTTGTAGTTGTCGTCACGGCAATTAATTCACCTGACTCGAACAATTCGACCCGGCAAATTTCTTTTGTACCGGCAAACGCGAAGGATCTCTCGTCGATCTCCCACGACAATTTTCTACGATCGAAGATGGTAATATTTTCTTTCTTTTCTCTTTTCGACACCCTTTCACGTGGAATCGCTCGTGACACACGTTCATCTGATTACACTCCGGGACAATCTGATGCTGAGGCTGCGGCAAGATTATACGGTTGCACGAGGTAAGACGCGCCGGAGGAGCGCCTATTCCCGTTAACGGCCCGCTCGCGGAAGAGCTTTTGCGCGTCAAAGGAAGGAAAGAGAGAGAGAGAGAGAGAGAGAGAAGGAACTACCGGTGCGGCGGCGTTCATCGGTGAGATTGAACGGCTGGAACGAGAGGATAAAGGCGAGTCGTATATAAAGGCAGGAAGACATTTCCTCGTCCTTTATCACTTTCAATTCTGCCAATTCGTAACGTTCGCTCGGTGCGATCAGATCGCGGATAAAGGAACGGAATAACGACGCGCGCGAGCGAGCGAGCGAGCGAGCGAACAAGAGGCTCCTCTCTCTCGTCTCCTCTCTCAAAGTACGACGAACGCGCGACACGCGGTCTACCGAATCGTGCGTATCGTCTATCCTCTCGTTACCGTCGCGCGATAAAAAACGCGAACGGTAGCTTTATTTGCCCCGTACGGGCGGGGAGGGGGAGGGGAAGAACAGAGTGCGTCGAGAGCACGCGAACGTGCCAATTTCCGTGCTGGAAATTTACGAGCCGTGACTCGGTGTAAACTCACGATGCGAATAACTGAGGGGGGCCCTTCCTCCAAGGTCGGCCAACCTTCGCCCTCTACGATGTGGTTTTACTGGAAGGCCAATAATAAGAAAAAAAAAAAAAAAGAAGAACCGAGGGAACGAAAAATAGCTAATTTACAGAGAAGAAGACAGAGAACTGTCGCTGGTCCTCCCCCCCTTTCCTCCTCCGTATAAACGTTCGCAAAATTTTTCATACATCGAAATATTAACCGGAGGTATGTCGTATTAATCGTGCATGAGCTCTTGATAATTATTCCGCGTCAACTGTGCTCCGACAACTTCGGTTTGTAACGAGCTGCGCGCGGTAAATTCCGTAAACAACAATCATGCCTTTATTGAACGTCCCGCGCGCACTCCGCCGACGCGCGTTATTAACGCGTTAATTAAGCGGGCGAAATTGCCGCGTGGAGGCGATCGCATTGTGCGAGGAAAACTCGAGATTTCGCGCGGGCATTGAGAGAGCGAACTCGGCGCAAATTGCAAGATGAAGCCGCGCGCGATTCTTCGCTGCGAGCGATCGCTTCATCGGAAATCACTGTTTATCCGCTGTCACGGCTGAAATTCATCGGCGACGCCGTGCGCCGATGTAAATTGTGCCAAACGCCGGCGTAATCTAACGAAAATCGATATAGGCTTTCGATAAGAAGACGAAGGATGCTGCTGCGGCCGGAGGGAGCGCTCTATACTCGATCGCTCCTGGCCCAATAAAATACGTTCCGCTTGAAACGGAACAACTGCCGTACAATACGACGATCGCTACGAGCGCGGTACTCGTGCATCTATTCGTTGACGGTCTCTCGAGCTTAAAATCGTCGTCACTCGTCGACGATTAAATACAATTTCTTTTTTGTCTTCTCTGACGGAAGACGCTGAAACGTTAATACTGCGCCGAACGAAAGCGAAATAAGATAGAAAAGTCCGAGCAATAGGGAGATAAAAATAGAGATGGAAGTTATAAATCGACCTACCGCTTTTCCAAGCCGCGCGCGTTATATCGGAGATTCCGAGTGTACTTCCTCGAACCACTCACGGATTTATAAGGCGAGCGAACAAACAAGCACACAAGACCGTCTCTAATCTTAATGAGTCCGCCATCTCGACTGATTATTCCACGTTCGACGAATTATGGGAGATCTCGGATTTTCCCTATCGAGATGCTCTACAACAGTCGTTCTTCTCGTTCTAGGTCCACCGACGGATTTTTACGGGATCCTTCTGGTGGAACGGGGATCTCCCGACGAGAATGTTGACGGAGAATGGAGCGGACGTGCGAATAATAAGAAAATCGAGGGGGAAATCGCACGGGAGAGAGAAATTGACGGACTTGGCGGGCCGGTTGTTCTTCCAACTTCTCGGTAAATTAACTGACAGTTCAATCATACGTCTGTCTTTTGTAATCTTGTCTGTCCGTAAATTGAAGGAAAAACAAAAGAGAAAAAACATATGATTTAATTGTCATACGTCTCTGTCTCTGTCCAAATTGAAGGAGAAACCAAGACAAACATATGATTTAATTGTCATACGTCTCTGTCTCTGTCCAAATTGAAGGAGAAACCAAGACAAACATATGATTTAATTGTCATACGTCCCTGTCTCTGTCCAAATTGAAGGAGAAACAAAGACAAACATATATGACTTAACTATCCGAGGTTAACTTACCGAGAAGTTGGAACAACCGGCCCTTGGTGACAGATAATCGAGACAATGAGTATCGTATCGCAATGTACAAAATAATGTTGCCCCTGGCTGAAAATTGATGAATTAACGTCGGACGGAGTACGCGTCGAAGACGCAAGCATAGATGACGCATATCGTTAATCAATGTCTAATTCTTCGGCTCTCCCTCTCTCCCTCTCTCTCTCTCTCTCTCTCTCTTTCTCACCTTATCAATCGGCATTGAAGGGCACGCACGGCAGAGGTTCCAGAATGAACCAATCATGAGGCCGCGGTGTGTGGGGCAGTGGGACAGTAGTGACACGCAGCCGCTGCGTTAGAGCGACGGGGCCGTTTCCTCGACGACGACGACACGACCAGTACGGTGTCGTCAGGCCAGGATGCTGCGTCCTGCCGAGGAGGAGGAGGACGCGGCTCCTCGACGTTGACACACGGCACGTACGTAGGTACGACACACAACTACACCTTCCCTTCCCGTCCTCGTCCACCTCACCACTTTACCACCGCCACCTTCTTCTCCCTTCGAGGCAGTGTTCGTGAACGGCGCTCGAGCTCGTGCTCGGGTTCCGGATTACTCCCTCTGCGTAAACGAATGTATGCGTGAATGTGTGTGTGTGTGTGTGTGTGTGTGTGTGTATCTATCTCTGAGTATGCGAATATACATGTGTGTGTATCAAGTGAATAGAGATATGGAGGGAGATGAAGAGAGGAACCGGGTGTCGGTATTGATGTGCGTGCGTATGTATGTGTGTCTGTGTGTGTGTGTGTGTGCGTGCGTACGGCGTGTGGATAGAACGCAATGCCGGCATCCGCGCCTGCGGTCGTCTGCGTCGACATCCATGGATTTTCGTCAGTGAATGCGAGCAAGAGAAGAAAGAACCGCGCGCACCTCCTGGAGTACACAAGACACCTCGGTACGACGGTTTCGGGATCGTTGGCCGCGGCTACGTTAGATCCGGCGTTACGAGGAACGCGATCGGCTACGTGATCGTGCGTATCGGTAAACGCGCAGACGAGACGATGAAGATGACGAAGATGTGAACGATGGGGCCGATCGGGATAGATCGCTTTCCAAAGCGCACGTGAGATGGGACGATGGGGCCGTAAATAGAAAACGGGAAATGCCGATGGGAAAAATAGAGTCAGAGTCGGAAGCGGCGGTCGGAAAATCCGAGGAGCTCGCTTAATTCGCGGTTACGTAATAATAAATTTTACCGGCTTGCACGTATCGACGTGTTCGCGTAGCGACGAGACGCCGCGCCATCGCGCCGTTTCGTTGCCGAGACGATAAACAGCAATGCGATCGGGAGAGAGGAAATGATTATGCTCTCGTTAATGAGCGATCTGGCAGGAAGTGATGAGCACGCGAGTGTGATGAATATTGGAGTAGTTTCGAGAGTCCAAGTTGGTGTCGATACAGACGCGATTGTGCGGACTATTCTTAACGAAGATCAGACGCAGAGACCGAGGAGACGGATAATTCGATGGCCTTCGTGCTTCGCTCGACACCGTCGTTGGGAAAAGAAGCACACACACACGCAGGATACGTTGATGAAACCTCGCTCGCTCGGGCGATTTCTCGAAGGACACGAGAAATCCATCACGTATTAAGATGCAAATCGGTGGAAGAGAGATAAACGAACACGTCGATGAACGGAACGAGTAGAAGAAGGAAATGCAAGTTACCAGACGACGGAGTGCAAGCGGAGAGTCAAGGTGATCGATCTGTAATCGCGCAGCTGATGATTAATTAATAATGAAGACTAAAGATGGTCGCTTTGATGACTGCGGAATCGGCGAGACGACCAGTCGCCGCGCGAACCAACAGTATTCGCGTAATAAGGCCAATAATACGTGCAGGCAGTCGCGAGAAGTGCGAATGAAGGTCGATAAAAAAGTGCAAGAAATCGACACGTACTGCGTGACGATTGAAACGGAATTCGATTTCAGGCTCTATAGGGTGCGATCACGCAATTCGCCGGCGAAGGAAAAGCCCGGACGACGAGCGGACAGATCAGGAAGCGAAGGAACAACGACGGATCCGATCGTTTTCCGACTTTATCGTTTCATCACTGCTCTCTCTCTCTCTCTCTCTCTCTCTCTCCCTCTCCCCCTCTCTTTCTCCTTCTCTCTCTCTCTCTCTCTCTCTCTCTCTCTCTCTCTTTCCTTCTCCACTTCTTCAGACCTTGCTCCGGTCGTCATTCGGTGGTCGATCGTTGAAGATTCTTCGACGCACACCTGTCAGTCAGCGTTTACCGGCTCGCCATCTCCACGTACACACATACGTATACGTGTACACACCTATCGAACAGAAGCACCCCGGGGAAGAGAACCCGCAGAGCCTTCGAAGACGCCGGTACGAAGCAACGGCCGGTCGTCCACCAACGCGACGTCGGTTAGCACTAATCTCAGTTAATTGAATTTCCTTCCTCGGTCTGCGCTATAGATGTGACGATAGAGAAAGAGAGAGAGAGAGAGAGAGAGAGAGAGAAAGAGAGAGAGAGAGGGGGGGCGGGAGAAGGAGGGAGGGAGAAGGAAAGAGAGAGAAAAAGCGAGAGAGTGAGAGCGAGAGAAAGAGCCGCAATCTCTTCTCGAATCGAAGATCGCACCCACACTGTATATTAGTACCGAGCTGTGACACGCGCCGGTAGTACTCGTTAACGTGACCGCGTGAGCGTGTAGAGTGACAAGGGGAATGATGAGAGAGACAGACACACAGAGAGAAAGAGAGAGAGAAAGAGAGAGGGAGGGAGAGAGAGAAGGGACAAGCGTGAGAGAGGAACACAGAGGCAGATTAAGATAGAGATACGTAAGGGCTTGATGCAATAACTCGCGTATGCGTGTATGCGTGTCAGTAAATGCTTCTGTGTATGCGTGCACGCATATGGATGTAGGGGTGTGTGTATGTGTGTATGTGTGTGTATGCGTGAGGATACTGTGAGTGTATATGTGTATGCGTGTGTATGCGTGCAATGTCAGCCAGGTGACACCCCGGACACGTACGAACAGCACGACGAGACGGAGGGCAGAGCGAGAACGGAATCGTGAGAGGCACTGCTGGTCCCACCGTCGCACCGACGTTACGTAGAGCACCGCGTCGCCGGCAAGACGGCTCGCGGGGACAGTAGGAGGGGTTGCCGGAGACAAGCGCAGGCGTCGAGCCAGAACCCGGGTCGATAGTCCGCAATATTCCTCCCTTGCCGGCCGGCTGGTTACTCGCTCTGCGTCTCCTCTCTCTCTCTCTCTCTCTCTCTCTCTCTCTCTCTCTCTCTCTCTCTCTCTCTCTCTCTCTCTCTCTCTCTTTCTCTCTCTCTCTCTCTCCCCCCCGCCTCTCTCTCTCTCTCTAGCTCACTCTCTCGCTCTCTTTCTCTCCACGCCGCCGCATCGCTAAACTCCTCATAGTGGCAAATCACCACGCGGAGCGCTCGCTCGTCTAGGATCCTACTAGCATTCATAGAGAAATCCTGGAATGCAGAGAGCTCGGGTTTTCGTCATTTCGAGAGGAAGACGATGAGCTTCGACGCAGCGCGAGGAAAGTTTCCCCGAGCACACGAAGCTGCAGAGAGAAAGAAGCTGCCGGCTCTACTCTCCACCGCCACGTCGGTTAATTTAATTCGCGTCGTCGCTGTCTTTTCGTGTTTTCCAAAATTGCGTTAGGATATCTCGAGGATAACGCTATCCGATGTCTTCGAGAAATTCGATTTGAAGCTAGACGTCGTTAGTTGAGGTCGCAGTAGTTGCGAAGGCTTTTAAAGGCAGCGATTTTCGCCATCAGTTTGCAGAACTGTCCGGGGCCCTGAAATTTGCAAATCCACCACTGGCTTCTTCGTGTCTTCCCTCTTTCTCTCCGTTTCGTCTCTCTTCCTCCCCTTCATCCTTGTCTCCATCTCACTCCAGTTCTCTCTCTCGTTCGCACTACCGTTGCGTATTTACTCGTATATGCTGTCTTTTTCCCTCTTCCTCCTCTCTCTCTCTCTCTCTCTCTCTCTCTCTCTCTCTCTCTCTCTCTCTCTCTCTCTCTCTCTCTCTCTCTCTCTCACCCTTCTTTGCTAGCCCTCGTCCTTCTCTCCTCTCCTCTCTTTCCCTCTCGCATTACGACTATCCGTTTGGTCTAGCACCTATTTTCCAGCGAGAGCTTTTATCCCCGTTTCTCGACGCTGCGCATGTACGTATATACGTGAGTACGTGAGTGCGTACACGTTATTCGAAGGAAGGTGCTTCCGAATTTCCTTCACGTTTGCAAGGTTGAGGGGTCCGGACCGCCTTGCGGTGTGGTGCCCGGATTCCTTCGTCGCCTTCCTGCACCTTCGTCCTCATGCTCGCACTGTACTCAATACACCGCAGCCCCAGCTCGCAGGTGCTCGTCTTCGATCCCTCCCTCTAGTTTAATCCTTCAGGATCACATTAGGTCCCCCCACATTAGATACAAATTACTCGTCAGTTGGTACACACCTCACGATGGAAAGAAAGTTCTCCGAGGAATTTGCTCGCGACAGCAGAGTGAAAATTCATCCGACATTTTCGCTTCACCCCGGGAATGCACAGTTTCCCCGACAACATCCCAACTCTGTCGACGTACATTGTGTGCAACATTGTTCAGCGTCCCCTGAATTCGCGATTCGGTATCGACTGCTCCCCCTTGGCCCCTCTTCGCGCTCGTCACAACCACTTGCTACTTAAACTTTCCTGCGCCCCCACCCCACCCTATGTAATTCTCCTTTGCTGCGTCGTGTAATCTAATGTCCCTTTCAAGCTCGCTATCCTTAATTTTGTATATAGCCCGCCACGCCCCCGCGCACCGTCGCAGCGTTCGCCCTTTCTTCCGCTGTCGTTTATATTGCAGCAGTCCTTACTGGACCGACTCTGTACCTCGTGCTGCATCGAGTGCGACCGAACGAGAAATAAAATTCTGAACATTCGCGCGTTTATTAAGCACACACCACGGGAGCAAGAAGGCAGCAGAAACGGGCGGGAGCTGCTTTTGTTCGCAGTCTCGAGCGAAAAGATACGAAAAAGCTGGCAAATCCATATGAATACCGATTATTATACGCGCATCGCGCATTTTTCCGAATTTCTCCAGACCAGAACGAACATTCGTTTCTCGAATCTGCAGCTGAAATTTCTCGCCGTTAACAAACGCTCGGTCTAATTGCGCTCACCGGAGAAAATTCTCCGATTTTCTTCTCTCTCGACTCCCGCGGCTCCCCGACTCGAGAGTGTTGCATGAAACTCCGGTGATACAAAAGTGTATCTTAATCCGCGGCTCATATACAGACACACACACACACGCACACACAACAAGGGATTCCCCTTGTAAAATCCGTCAAAGGTAGCGTCGGTGTGACGGCCGTGACGAGGGATCAAAATAGCTTTGTTATCCGGTGTCATTAACCATCCATCGCTCTCTCGCTCGCTATCTTTAATAAGCCTTTCGCTATTCCGTCCT